GGGATTTTTTGGCTGGTCCAAGTTAATGCTTGATTCATTAATGGGGTTGTTATTCCAGAAATCATAAAAGATACAAAAATTAAATAATTGATAAGGGAACATTTTGATCTTGATGAATTGTTTAAATGCAAAAAATGTGTAGAGGGCGATTTCTTACCCGTTGAACATTGAAGTCCAATATAAATGCATTTATTATTTAAATAAAACTCCTTCACCCTTCAACTGTACTTCAATACCATCAGGAATTCATGCCTTCATAGAATAATGGGAAACTTTTATGGTTTTATAATAAAAATGTTGGAAAACATAACATATGCTTACACAAACTGCTCACATTGTAAAGTATTCAGTAGCAATAAAGGCAGAGAGACCGGTGGTTATTCTGTCTTCTTTATGAAACCACAAAGTATAAACACAAAACAAGATTAATTTCAGTCATAGTTTATTGGGTGCTGATGCAAATCATGATTAAAATAGGATTTCCTGTTGCTTTAGTTTAATTTGCCTGGAAGGAGATGGTTCCATGAGTGTCTCCAAAAGTAAGAAATGCGGGACGTGCTTGTGTGGATATTCCAAAGGCTTCAGTGGCAGAGGGATGGATTTATGTCTGGGACATCAGCAACTCTTTATCCATGTGGGGAGTGCCAGGGGAAGGGGGAGAGTGGTGGAGTTCTCACCTTTTTTTTGTCTATTGATATTTTTTTCTATTGTTTTCTTTTAATGAAATTGTGTTTGAAAAAGTAATTAAGTATCAGTAAGCAGGAGTTGTGCAGGATCAGTTCCAGCTGTGGAAGTGCTGATACACATTCCCTGGGATGAAAGTTGTAGTCTTTCCAATGCCACCCTCCTGCCACGAGAGCAGCAAGGCAGATGTGGCACCATCTTCCTGATTTTTGGGTCCAACATTTTATGAAAGCACACTGGGTAAAAACTGAGGGCAAAAAATCCTTCTTTGTCCTTTAACAATAAATATGTGTGAGGATTCATGATGTGTGTGTGAGGATTCTCATGCTGGACCCATAAAGTCCTTCTGTTTGCAGTATTAAGAATACAGAAAAAAGGAATCTTCATTTTTTGTGTGAATATTGGCGGTGGATGAGGGAGTGGTGGGAAATATTTTTGCTCCTTCATACCCTGATCCCTCAAGAGTCTTGAAACAATTGAAGAAGGAGGTTTCCTTTCCCCCAAGTTTTGTTTTCCTTTTGCAAAAATTGCTGTTTAGTCTCCTAAATTCCTTACTATTACCTTATGGGGCTGATAAAGCAGGGTCAAATTACAATGTGAATAGGGTAGGAGAAATGAGATGCTTCAGGAAGTTCCTTGAATTTGAGGATCTTTCCAGTCAGAAGAATGAGGATTCTATATTGCAGAAGGTAGGAGAGCAACCTGAGGATTTCCTTCCGGAATTCCAAGAGCTGCCTGGGGGCAGGATACCTGGCATGCATCATTTTATGACTGGATTGGGTAGAATTCCTCGTCTTTCTCATCCTTGTTAAGGACTGTGGTAAACTGGTGATGACATGGAATCAGGAATGTGTCCCATAGAAATATGCTGGTGTACACAACAAGGACGTGTGCAGAATTAGGAGCTGGAGTTCTTCACAAGACCCAGGTTGCCTCAGTTTTATTTCTGTCATTGTTCCTGGAGGAATTCCTATGATCTATGCATCCTTGATATTCATTTTATCAGTTAACTGCATATACAATTTTAGCTTATAAAGTGTCTCATTATATATATATATATATATATATATAATTTTAATTTGGTATTTGCAAATAGGAGAATTTATAGAATTAAATGTACCAAAGAGTGAGTTGCTAAAGGAACACAAATGTTTTAATGAGGTGGTTTGTTGTTGGTCATGCTGTGTGACAGTGTGTGGTGGTACTTGGGAGGTGGCCTATGGTATGAATACTTTGTATGGATTGTTAAGATCTGAGATGGAGGGATATGAAAAGAGGATGCTATGAAAGATTAATGGGACAACAAAGCAGTAAATACACTGTTGGAGAGGTCTTGGTGAATAAAGTCACTGTTACATAGCATGGATATTCAAAATCTTACATATAAATAAACGTTCATGGTAGTTTGGAGTGTAGCCTGTATTTCTGCAGAAATTCAACTTTAGTTATGGATTTTAATTTATTTTTAATTTTAAGTTTCTTAAAGTATAATTTGCATTCTTTTTTAATGTAATCTCATATTCATCAAGATTAACATATAAATAACTCTACTGCACCACTAAACAATAAAGGGAACAAAGTGACACAAAATAAATCTCATTTTACTACAGCCAAAAATTGGGTTTGTGGCTTTTTAGGGCTTGCCTCCCAGGGCAATTGACAGCATAGCTGTTGTAGAGTAACTGAGTGGCTGTATCTGTGTGATGGAACTTCCTGAGGCTGGAATTACGTTCCTGAACAGGAACATTGTCTTTCTTAAAAGTATAATATTCTAAATAATGACTGTACTTTGTAAGTACATGAGACAAAGGAAACGGAAGCCACCTTGGTGCTGAATGAAGAGAACATTCTCATTGAGTACAGTTTTAATAAACTTGTCTGCATCAACTTCATATTGATTTGTTTGTCTTAATTTCTGTGAATGACTCTGCGTGGGCAGGTCAGTGGAGATGGAGGACTGCAGCAAAGGTGGAATGAATCCTGCATGTTGGCATGTGTGCTCTACTTATTGCTTCATTATTTGAATCAATTATTACTATCATTATTTGAATCTATAAAAATACATGGATCTTAATGTCTGCTCATATTTGTAGACGTGAATGTACACACAGGTCTTGTGATCGGAAATGCTGAATGAGAGGATGGCTCAAATGAGGATTCTTCAACGCTTGAACGAACAAGTTCCTATTTCACTTCGTACTTAAAACCTCAGAGGTGATTCACTTTCTGAGAAACAAAGCAAGTTGCCCTTTGTTTTGGTTTCATAGTTAGGTGTTTTTATTATGATGTCATTACTTTAAAGCTTGTCTGCCAGCTGAATAAAAGGAGAACAAAAATTTGCCATAGCAAGTCCACAGCGCCTTGGTGTTGTCTCCACCCTGTAACAGGTGTATCTGCTCCCTCTTCTTGCCACCACTGAAATGTGGAAGAAGAATCATCTGCAAGCTCAGATCTCTCTTGTCCAATATGTTTTAGGGTAGACAGCAGTATGAAATGTTCAGTGTCTCTTTGAAAAGGGCAATATCACTGCAATATCCTCTGGCTCCTCAGCCACATCCTTCCCTCTGCAGCATCTTTCACCCATGCCTGCATTTCCTTAGCACCTCTTTGTTCCTGCCCTCAATATCTCATAAGCTGTGTAGAAATTTGCTCTTTCCAGAGTTTCAGCTGAAGGCTTTGCAGGCAAGGGCTACTTCTTCATATGTGGAATATTGGACTGACCAGATCTGGCAGCAGTGACCCCATGAGTTCTTGGCTGCAGTCATTTCTGGATGGAGGAGGAGGATTTTCAGATTTGCAGTAGTCCTCCTTGTGTCTGACCAGAGACAAGGAATGGATAATTTATCTATTTATCTGTGCTGATTTATCTGTCAGTCACCTCTGTTCTGAAGATGCCATGAATAGTGAGAAGTCTTTTATTTGAAAGTAACCCAATAAATTGAAGTGAGGATGAGTACCAAAATGCATGGCATGTGAAGAAGGGAGTAAGAGGGTTACATTGTCCTCAGAACAGAATTAAGAAACTGCAAAAATGAGAGAATCTCATTTTCTGAAGACATAGATCTTTGACAGTTTAAGGAAAAGTGGTAAGAACTTTTAATGTGCCATCTGCTCCTTGAACCTTCATGACCAGGTGTATCACTTTGGACTGAAACTCCTTCTTGCTCAATGTTCAGTCTCTAACCAGTGGCTGAAATTTAAACTTCCTTAAAACTCCTCAGATACCTTCCCTGCTCTGTTTAGAACCAGGTTTCATGAACCAGAGGTGGCATCTATATTGAGTGGCCCTTCACATTTTGTTTTTCTGTGAACTTGTCTGAAAAAGCATCAATTCTTGGAAAACATCACGTGCCTAAATTTTAATAAATTTAAAGACCAATTTCATCTTGCTTTCAAAAATATTGGTTTTACTTTCTATTTCTTATTGTGAACTTTGTGTGAGAAACAGAGATAATCAGATTCAAGATCTCAGCTGTGTTTTAGCCATCATTTAATTTCTGGTGGCCTCTGTGCAACCTTGGTGTCTGGAACTTCCCCTGAGATGGTTTTTTAATGCTTTTCAGCAGTTGTGTTTTTTAAGTATGTTTTCACAATCTTTACTGCTTTGCTTTCACAATCCTTACTACTTTTTAAAAGTAGCTTCAGTGTATCAAATGGGTGTTATTAAATGTAATTAAAGTAATTTTAAGTGGTAATTTTTGGAAAGCTTTTTAAGATTGCTGAATAAACTTATAGCAGAACCTGTCTTCACAGAACACATGATCCTAACAATGGCCCATCATGCTTTGATTTTACTGTGGATTGTTTACAAATGATTATGAAGGAGATTTAAATGGGGAAAAAATAATCTCTCACCTTTCTTGATTTCATGCTTAATTTTCACAACAGTGGTGGGTTATTCCTATTTGCATTTCATGGTTTTATTTTTAGGATGTGTCTTGTCTAGTCTTGGCAGACAGACACCGAGTCAACAGGTAAAATATGAAGGTTGAACAGTGAGGGAGTTATTATCCAAATGGAGCCTTCTGTTAGAGGTGTCAGCAGAGACAAAGGTGAATGTAGAGAATGAATGGAGTAAGATGAGAGAAAGATCAAATAATGGGATAAGAAGTTCAAGCGTGGGATAATGGGTGTGATTAGAAATTATTAACAATGTAAAAATTTGCAAAACATGCAAAAGAATTTCTGTCTGTTCATTAAAACTCAATGAGGGAACCACATAATAAAACTTTTTTTTTAAAAAAAAATCATATTGGGTCTTAGAATATAGGTTCTGTGGTGTTGGTTTTTCTGACTATTTCTCTGTTAGTTTTCAGGTTTCTGTCTTCCACATTGTACATCAGTGGGATCTCTGTGCTGGAACAAGATAATGTCTTCAACTCATTGAAGGAAAGGGGTGAGCAGCTTTCTCATGGCCAATATTTTATCTTCTTTAGAAAACAACGTGCCCTGGAAATAAATAACATCTTGAATTGTGTTGAAAAGGAAGCCAGTTCTAGATGCTTTTCATGTGTCCAAGTGAATTGATTTTTGTTTCTTTTTAACTTGGTGTGTGAATGTAAGGATCTAATGTTACATAGGAGGTGCCAGGACTAAAGTTAAATAAGAATGAACAAAGAGCCATGCGGAATCTGCCAGTCGTGCATTTCTCTCTGAAGGACTTCAAAGAAACGTGTGTGAGGGAAAATTAGAAGGAATGATTACTTGTTAATAAGTCTGTTGGGGAGTTCCTTCACAACCCTAAGAAGGTTGGTGGTTATGTCTTAGCCTGAAGCATAACTATTTATATCTCTTACAAACATCTGTTGTAGCTTGTATATGTTAAAAATGATACCACTGATCTCCAGCAGCTCACTTGCTCCTTCTGTTAACGTTACTGGGTGGTCCCTGTGCCCTTAATTATAAAGGAGTAAGTGGAACAAGAGAGGAGTGGAGCGATGAATGTTAAGTGATCACTTTGCGTGTACGTTTCAGCTCACATTTAATCTCTTATATACTCAACTTGCATAAAGTCTCCACATTTCTAATTATGATTATCCCTCTTCACTTAGCTTCTTTTCTGCATTACATTTTCCCTTCATACCTCATTTTATAAAAGGCTTCCCTGGTTTTTTTCTCCTTTGCTTTGAAGACCATGATCTTTTATGAATTCTCTTTCACCACAGGTATCAGTGGAGTTTCTGATTGCAGATCAGGCATCAGCTTCCAGTTCCATGACCTTAAGTTTTTCCTTGGGTTTTCCACACGCTTTGCTTTCAAAATAAATAGAATGAGAGTTAGTTCTGTTCTGTGTGAAGCAGACTGGCAGACTCACCCTCAGGTTTTTTTTGTTATTCGTAAGTCTTTGAATATAACACAAACACAGAGTTTTCTCTCTACACTCGATTTCTTTCACAGAGAATAATTGGCATTTTGAAAGCTAAGATGTGCAGAAGTCACATGTTCTTGGGCTCACCTCAGATACCCAAATACTGTGTGTTCTGAGGTAGAGTGCTGGTAGGAGATGGTCCTGCTGTGAGCTGAGAATCGACACACATGAGCCAGAAATTACCACAGGAGTAGGTCAGCCAAGAGCAGGGGTTGTTCGAGTGCACCGCAACTGCTTCAGACCAAGTCAGCTGCTTTCCATCATAGCCACCTTTAGCAGGGAGAGGCCCGAAACAGCCTGGCTGACTCGATGTAAAAAGGATCAGAAACCATCCATGTGTGGAGGAACTGTGGAAGTAATTAGCTGTGGCAGTGATAAACATCTGGGAGCGATAGCAGCCCCATCGCTGTCTGCAGCCTGAGCATCTGCTGAGGCTGTGCCTGCTAAGGAGCCTGGCTGCTGCATCCCAAATGAGGTTATAAAAGCCAAATCTGTAAATACCTTCTCAGTTACTTTTCTTAAAGTTTAACATAGTTTGTTTCTTGCCTCTACTGAGTAATGAGGAAATGTTTCTTTTTAGTGAACAGAACTAATTCCTTAGTTAATTGCCTCAATTTAAGTGTGTGATTAGCTCAATTTGTTCTTCTTGATTTGCAGTGGCTGTCTTCACTAAATCTCATCAGTTCTTATCTTGCTTAATAGCTTGATCTTTTTCTACTGTAATTGTAAGTCAGAGGGGAAGCTCTTGTGGGAAATAAAGGATATAGCCACATAGAATTCTTTCCAGTCATTCCCCTGGGAGAAAATATGGCAAAAGCCTTTCTAGATGAAATAATCTATGGATCTAGCTAAAAGCTGTGCATCTCCTTTCTTCTTTTGTGTGGCCTGAGGGCCTTCCAGATGTGGAACGTCTCTTCATTATGGAAATCTGGAAGGAGGGGTTAGTCCAGCTTGTCTTGTTCTCCAAAAATTCTTGCCATGTCCTACTGTCTTTACCAGTTTACATGTATTATCTTTGTGGCCTCTCTCTCCAGGTTTTTCTTCATGCCACAAATATGATCTTATGTCCCTGTGAACTCTTAAGTTTTTCTTCCTCTTCTACAACTGTTTTACTTTTATTTTCTTTATTTGCCTAAGACTTTCATCTTTCTCCCACAGTCAAAAAATTTCTTTTGCAGTGTTTTCTGTGTGACTTAGCTTTAATCATTAAATAGTGCTTGCTCTTTCTTTGTTGATCGTTTCAACTGTTCTGCTTTTATTTTGAGGATACTCTGGTCCATGCTTTGGATGTCACAGTCATAAATTAAATGCACATCTTTTGAGAAGAAGAAAAGCAGCATTTTCTATGTGCCTCTTCACTCTATCAATACAGACAGGCACTTGCACTGGCTGTCAGCTGCCATTTATGAAAGAAAATGTGTTTAAACATCAGGCAAATGCTTACAGGGCTGATGCTTTAGAATGTGTTCCCTTAAAGTATTTTACGAGTTATCTCACTTACTGTGGCAAATGCTGATTTAACTTTTAACACTAAATGATTTGTAACTGTAAAAAAAAAAAATAATCTGAAGTACTTCTATCAGTGAGTGCACTTAGGTTGTTCCCTTTGTATTTTTAATTTTGGTGGAGAAATCAGTAATGTTTTTAGGGTTTCAAAGAAAGAATACTGATCTGTAAAAATAGATAAAACCTGGTTTGTAGAGGAAGCCATGCTTACATCATCTTGGTGAACTTCTCTGGCCTTTGAAACTGTTTAAAAAAAATTTTAAAAATTGCATTCATATTTAGGAATTACACTGAGTGAATTTGATGCAAAGTAAGGCTTGAGGTTTCTTCTGAGGAGTTTGGTTTGTGTCTGTGCCTGAAACTGTTGTCAAAGAAAGGAACCTTGAAACTTCTCCTGTGTTTGCAAAATGAAACACTCACTTGAGACTGTTATAATCTGTAGGGGAAAATATCCAGAAATATAAAAATTGCTCTTTAAAATAGTAATATGCAGTAGAAGTATGCAATAAGGGAAGGATTTAAAAAGATTCTGTTTCAGATCTTAAACTGGTGAAAATTTTAAAACTTAGTTCTTCAATACTGATATAAGTGAAAAAGAGCAGAAAACCTGAAATTATTACCTGGATGTAATGTTTTTCAAGACATGAGCTCTGACTTCTTTTTAATATGGATTTTCTTAAGGGTAGCCAAACATTAGGACTCCTATATGTCAAGGAAAATTGACTTCTGTGTTAATAGTTACTGGTAATAGCTTAATGAGTTACGTGATTTCAGTTGTAATTGCTGTAAATCTGACAAGAAAATGAAATGTGAAGTAATAATTTGTTGGGTACGCTCTATCTGATGGTGGTACTTTGCTAATTTCTTTTTTTTCAATTACTGTATGTCTTAACTTAAAAATGTTAAACTCATCTGGGCACCAAACTCCAGCCTAGAGAGAATAACCTGATGCATTTACTTGTGTTTTAATCCTATTGCAATTAATATTTCCCAAAGTATCAAATGTCGCTGAAATTGAGACTTCTGAATTCCTAGGTCCCTTTTGAAACTTTATAATCATGTGGGCCCAATTGTTTAAAAATTGTTAGATATTGTTCCCTCCTTTGTTGAACCTTAAATTACTTGGATGGCAAATCCCTGATGTCAGAAGTTATTTGAGGTTTGGTCTCTGAAAGTAGTTCCAGGCCTTGCTTTAGAATCTGGGATTCACACCCAAAAGTGAAAACTACCTAACATTTTGCATTTGGTTCATAATTTTTAACTTATTATTTCAGTTACAGTGATGCTCAGTGGGTTGGGAGCCTTTTCCAAACACAGAAATGCAAACCTCCCCTTTCTAGATTTCATGTATTACCTTAGAATGTCATTTAAGTAGTGCAGAAAAGCATGCTGAAGTTCACTTAAAGCTTGTGAGTATAAAAAAACCTCAGCCTCTTATTTAAAATTTTACTTTAAAATATAAAAAGAGAGAATGAACTTTTTGCTGATAAAACCTGTTATATTTCCAAACTGAATTTATTTGTTGTTTGAATTTGCATGTGGCCATTGTTGTCAATAAACTGAGAGGTATGCATAAATTTGAATTTCTACCTTTATTTTTTCTTCACCCTTTAGAATTGGATTCTAAGTGGCCACTTTTTTAACTGGCAATTTTTTTTTTCTTTCTTGAAGAATATTTGTTCACACTTATGATGATTTGACACAATTAATGTCTTAATAACCATGATGGCAACACAGACATTAAGTATAGACAACTATCAAGATGGACAACAGGTAGGTGTGTTTTCCTTTCTCTAGGCACTAAATACACTTCAGAAGAGGGGGAAAAAAAATAGTGACTTTGTCCTTGGTGCCTGCTTTGGCATTGTTTAAGCTGGAATAATGAAACATAGCCATGTATATCTGGTCATGATTGGTTTTTTTTGAACAACAGGCTGCATAGTTTCACACTTCCAATTGCTAAATTAAAATGCTGTTAACTGGAGGCAAGTCATGAGGTGGGCTTTACTCTGAAGATCCATTTTTCTGTTACTCTGTGTCAGCCCTAAGCAATAAATACAAGTACTTCAGTCAGCAGATGGCAACAATGGGGAACAGTCAGATAAAAACAGCAACTTTCACATCTCCTATAAAATGTTCATCTGAACGCAGTCATATTTTTGATTTTTAGTTTTACAGTTTGCTTCTTTTATTGAAATTCTAATTTCTCTCTCTTCTCTCACCTACTTACATATTTGACTTTATTCTCCTGCAAATACATACCATCCTGTGGCAGTGAAAATAAAATACATTTTTTTAAAATAACAGATTGGGAGAGAGCTTTTTCTTCCTATTTGTAGTGTATTTCAAGCTCTCAGAGTCCAAGGTAGGCAGGTAATTCTGGTGTCTGCTGTTTTTCCAGTTTGGATATGGCCCACAGAAAAAAAAAACTTGCAGTTTAAGTGAGCTGTTTCCTCCTCCTAGGGAGATAGAACCCTAACTGAACACACTCCCTCCCTTCCAGCTCTGCAGATGTATGGCCAGCATTTATAATCACTTGTCTGAGTCATCCCCTTTTAATTCGCTTCTCTTTCCTGTCATTAGCTAAGAAATGAGTCCATTAGTTACTTTTTTTTTTTTTTTTTTTTTTTTTTTTAAGCATTCTAACTTGAAAATCATCTCTGCTTGCTAAGGGAGCTCTCTGCAAGGCAGGCTGCTCTGTTGGGTGGGAGATGCTGAATTTTCTCCATTTTCTGATTTTTCTAGGAGATGGTTTGGCCCCAGTAGGTAATAAACCACAAACTTTGGTTCTCCCAGTCTGTTAAAAATACTATAATTTTTTCTGCTGCTGTTATGTGGAAATAAATTAAATTATGTTAAGGTCAGGTTCTCTAGTAGTTTCTAGAGGCCTTCATCTCTGCAGCTGTCAGTTCTGGCTGCCTGGAGATACCTAGAACAGTGTCTGTCCTCTAACTGAGATAAAAGGAGGGAGGAGATAAAATTTTGCAGTGGTTTCATGTCTTTGTGCAGATGCTCAAATGGGAGAACACCAGAGACTTTGGGCTGAGGGGTGAAAACTGACTTTCACACTTCAGGTTCCTGGAAGACCGTTTAGTCCAAAAGATATTTAGCTGGAGGTGATGGAAAAAACACTTGGAGCATCTTCAAAGCACCCCAAAGTTGTACCCAGCCTCCTAATGCAATTTAGGAGGTGCTCAGGTGAAGCTGTGGCTCTGTGTTGCTTTTCCATGGTATAAATGTGTGTTAAATGCATGTGTAGAAGGAGTTACTGCTGTTCTCCTGTAGTTTGATAGCCCTAAAATACTTGGTTGTTACAGTATGTAAAATGGAGTGCTAAAGGTCATGGGAGGTTATGCTCCTATAATTGAAGGACTGGAGGGACAGAATATTTCAGATCTTTTTAAGCAAATATGCATTTTAATGGACAAAAAACCTAAAAGATCCTTTTCTTCAGTACTCTTATACAATGCACAGTAAAAAATAAGAAAGAAAACTTGAGGATAAACTTTTCTTTACATTGATTTCATCCTAAAGGATTTTTATGCAGACATTCCCATGAACTTTTTGGAGCAATATGCTGTAGGCTATTCCAAAAACAGCCACTTCAGAGACAAAATGCTTCAACAGTTTACTAATATCTGTCATTCCCATTTTAAAGCCAAATGCTAAAACTTGGAAGTGACCTTTATCCACCAAAAAGTGTCAGGGATTAAAAGAGGGGTTTTGTTGCTGCTACAACTTCTTGTGTCACTGCCAAGTCACACCAACCTTCTGGCAATTTAGGAGCCCTTTGCACTGCTCTTTCCTTAGAACACAGCAGCCTTATTTTACGTCAGGGCTACAGATTTACTCTTTTTTCCTACAGATGCAAGTGGTAACAGAGTTAAAAACTGAACAAGATCCCAACTGCTCTGAAACTGATGCCGAAGGGGTGAGTCCTGCCCCCGTAGAATCTCAGACTCCAATGGATGCAGACAAGCAGGCCATTTACAGGTAGTGATGGACTCGTGTTCTGTCTTTTGAAGGGTGAAGGACAGGGTAGAGAATTTGGGGTTTTTTTAATAAATAAATAATAGGGAGATTGAAAATCAGGTGATCTTTTGGCTGTTTCCATAGTTTATAGGGAAAGAAAAAGACCAAAGAGGCTTCACTGTCAGTTATCAGCCAAGGAAAACCTCCTGAGCTTGTGAGATTTTTCAGTTTCAGGAATTTTAAAGGGTATTCTAAGAGTGGCTGCCAAATTTAGAAAGCTACCTTAGACTTTAAACTGTGGTCACTATTTTGTCATACTGTAGTTTTTATCTTTAATACGAGTTTTTACTTCTATTGAAATTAGGTCAATCTTTATTCCTTTTTCTTTAGGGATAACAATTTATTCCCCATTAATTAGCTCAAAATGGATTAAATATTGATGTATGAGCACACTAATTTGAGATTTTTCAGTGAAAAGTGCTATGCTAAGCAGTTTGCTCAGTTTTCATGGGGTTAAGTGTTCTTTTACTTTAACTACTTTAAAAAGACAGAATTTTTACTGGTTTTCAGGATCAGAAAACCCAACCAAAACAAAATAACAAAAAAAATAACCACCAAAACAGGAAAAAGCCAAGCAAAACACCAAAAGCCCCTCAACCTGAGGCAGAAAGATGTATCCATTCATTTACAGACTTGTGCTAACCATATCTCCTCAGAGCATGATTTCACAAGAGGCTTCTGAGCACAGCCTGAATACTCAATTTTTTAAAGTTACTTTGTGATGTATAAGTAGGGCCCACATTGAAAAATAAATTAATTTTTTCAGGCTTCATTTAAATCTGCATTCATCCTCTTTGTAAATCCTAAATCTCATTTCTAGTGCACTGTATTAATCTGTCTCAGTGCCACTCAATTATTGTGAATTAAACAGGCAGAGCTTTTTTGCTTGTGATTGCTCTCTTTAATTAAATATATACATATTTTACTGCTGTATTTGCCTACTGGGTGTGATAAATCAAAATGAAAATAAACTTTTATCTTATTTTGCTCTATAATATTTGTTATATGCAGTCTCTTCCAGAACTTGTTACACTCACAAGTGTTTGTGAGCTTTTCTGAGCTACATGTGTTAATTTTCACGTAAGTGAAAATACTTATTCATGTATTTAATTTTTTTTTCCTAGGCACCCACTATTTCCCTTGTTAGCACTATTATTTGAAAAATGTGAACAATCTACTCAAGGCTCAGAAGGCACAACTTCTGCCAGTTTTGATGTAGATATTGAAAACTTTGTAAGGAAGCAAGAGAAAGAAGGAAAACCTTTTTTCTGTGAAGATCCAGAAACTGATAATTTGGTAAGTACTAGGAGTTTGTTTCTGAAACAATTATCACATTTACAGCTTCTTCCTAAATTTCTGGTCCTTATAATTTCTCCTCACATTTTTTCTGCCTGTGAGAGGCTCTTCTTTATATTAATGATTAAAAATATTTTTTAAAATTCCTTCTGACCCCTTTTTCCCTTTAATCTGTAAATTTACTCTGGGCTCTTCACAGTTGTTTCCTATTCTCAGCTGACATGAGTGTGTTGGAGACAAACAGAAACAAATAATTTCCATAGCCAGGTTGACTCTGAAAATCAGTTTTAGCATGTCGGGTGTTTAACATATTTATTAAAAATATGTAATTGATGTAATTTTTTTCCAATTTTATGTAAATTGTGGTTCACCATATCACATAGTTAATGTGACAGAAAAGCTGTTATAAGATGATCTCAGAAAGTCTTTAACATGTACAATTTTTTCTTTCATGTCACTGACTCCTTTAGGCTTTCTGAAAGTCATTCCTGTGATGAAGCTGTGATTTGCCTGTTTTGAATATACCTGCCTTCGATATTTTACTCAAAAATGATAATTCTGTTCTGCATGAAGCAGGTCTGCTGACTTATTAAGCCTCAGGTTATTTTCTCCATTTGTAACTCTCTGAATCCAACACAGAATCACTGTTTTCCCATATCTCTCTAATCCAAATTTCTTTTCAGAAGCACATCTGAAATATGATAGTTGAAATGTAGTAGCTATGGCTCAGTGGATGAGGAAAGAGCAGTGGTTCTTCACTTTTGATGTCTCTTACAGTGTTCTCATAGGCAAACTGACAAGACATGGATGAGAAAAGTGAGCAATGAGGTGGAGTGAAAAATGGGTGAACCCCTGGGCTCAAGGGATTCTGGCCAGCATTATAAAGTCCAGTTGAGATCTACTCTTAAGTGCTGTTCTCCAGGGACTGATTGTGAAACCAGAACTGTTTAACATCTCCATTAGTGACTGGGGTGATGGGGCAGACTGAACCCTCAGCGGGTTTGCAGGTGTTGCAAAACTGGGAGGAGGGGCTGATCCACACATGGCTCTGCCACAATTCAGTGGTACTTTTTTTTTTATCACTTTGGAGAAGCAGAAAAATGGGATTCTCATGGAATTCAGCGAAGGGAAATGCCAAGTCCTAACAGGGGAAAAATAGACTGACTCTTCTCAGTGGTGCTCAGTGAAAGGGCAGGAGGGAATGGGCATGAATTGGAACACAGGAGCTTCCCCGAGAGTTGTGGAGACTCCATCCTTGGAGATGGTCAGACTCAGCTGGAAAGGAAACTGCCCTATCTGACCTTGCTTTTGAGTAGGGGGGTTGGATTATACAAAGCTCCAGAGGTCCCTTCCAACCTCAGCTATTCTGTGGCCTCTGTGAGCCTCTGAAGACTGGTTTCCCAAAGATCCTGATTGCCTTGGCCTGTTCCCTGTGCTTTTGGTCATACATCAACAGTCTCTCAGATCCAGCTTGCTTTGGTTGTAGTTGGGTCTGGTGTGTTCAGATAGTCTTTCCTGTTGTTGACCTATTTGTGGTTTTAGTTTGTGGTTCTAGTGACAAAGTCTCTTGGTTATGTGGGGTTCCCCTTTGCTGATGGGCTGCACAAATCTGGCTGGTTTTGCTTGAGGTAGGTGAGGAATTACTTGTTCATGTCCTGGATTCCATGGCTGCTGAGGTCAGTTGTGGCTTAAACTGGAACCACGTTGCAAAATCAAAAATCCTTGGCATTGAACTCCTGTCCTGTGGTCGTATTGTTAGCTGTGACTTTCTGTTACTGGATACCAAATGAAACCTGAATGCAGCTTGTCCCCTGCCTGTCCTGGAGGCTGGGAGCTCTGAACAGCTGACGTTCTGACAGGCTCTTCATTTGGTATGGGGCAGTGAGCACAAGTTTCTGTCAAGTTTGAACTGGCTAGCATGGCTTTCAGTCTCTTTTCAGCTTGAAATATTGGTGCTTGCCACAGGGAAGGCTGTAGACAGGCAGGTTTTTTTCTGCCTCGTGTCACATATATATTTTTTTATAGAGATTAAAAAGTCTCTCTTTAGTAGCAAGAAACACTACTGTGCATCTTTGTTCCATCTTCTGCTCATGCTGTTCTTCCCTTTCTAACTCCAATGTTAATTCAACCATTCATCTGAAAGGAGAAGCTTTTAAGACTGATAATTAGACTGGGCTAGAAGGGTGGAGCAGAGTCAAACAAATAAGGTGTAAATGTTTGCTCAGTAGTATCAGCTGGGAGCTAGAGCTAAAATGAGATGAGCTGAGCATCACAACACTGAAGAGCCAAATTCAAGTCCTATTTGAGAATCACAGGCCTTTTACAGTAAGGAAATTGGTCAGCTGTATTTTTTTTTCCTTTTACCTCTTTGAGATGTGGCATGTAGAACTCAGCCAGACTGCAGTTTCTGTGACAGAGCTTTAGCTGACAGCTCCAAAGCAGCAGAATACAATTCCATGCTCCATGCTGCCTGTGGGCTAATTAGGTAGGTAACAGAAATTATGAAGGGTCACAGATAGTGATTGTAGGGTCACTTACAGTCCTGGCAACGTTTCACATTGTGCACTCACTTGAACTGCCTTGAATACTCCACAAGAGGAGTTTGGAGTTCATCCAGAGGACCACAGAATGTTAATCTGGGTGGCAGAGGCATTAGATCAGTTTGACCAGAAAGGAAGTTCATTAAGAGCAGTGGATGCTTGTTCCAATTTGAGCAGCTCTTACTAAGCTATGGTCTAGATTATCTTGTTACTTTGGTATTATAATTCCCATTCTAAATTAATTGGTGGCTTCCTGTTTTAGAATTAAAACGGATTTCAGCATTGGAAAATGTGGGTAGCATCCACCTGAAACTTAATTTTAAGGATACTCATAAATTGCCTGTGAACCAGGTTTCAAACCCTTGTTACTATCTAGATGGAAGGATTCTGTTCTGGGGATTCTGTTCTTCCCAGTTAAGCTCTCCAACATCAGCTGGTGATCTTGAATCACAGGGCAAAGGATCATAATCAATCCAGGAGAATTGTTACCAGGTCTTTTTTACTTCTGCAGTGTCTTTCCCAGGTCTGGGTGCAATCCTGCTCTGGCATGACCCTGTGGTTCTGTCCTGCAGATCTCCCGTTTTCAAATCCTATGGGAAGGAAGTAGAAGCTAAAGTTTGTGATCATGTTCTCCCCAGACTGCAAGTGTGCTTTTCTAGAGTTCTAACTTCCTCCCTATCTTCTTGGAATGTTATTTGCATCCCCTTAGTCCTTTTACCAAGTGTCACAAGACATGTTTGCTGTCAATAACCAGACTTTGGTGGTCTTTGTTGCTGCTTTCTGGAAGTGTGCTCAGCTTATCCACATAACTTGGAGTATCATCTGTTGGAGCTCCACACCCTTTTACCCTTACCCTTTGCTATCCCTGCCTCATTTTTACAGATAAATCCTGGAATGAACCAAGGCACCAACTGCTCTTTGTTCTCCATCAGTCTTCTTTTGTGCTTAGGACATCCACAAATAGACACCTCCATGTCTAAGAAGTTGTTTGGCATGGGTGCTTCCAGAGAGTTTTTTTAGACCTTTCACAGATTATTTTATGTTTTAAGACATTTGTTGCTTAACACTTTTTTGTTGCTCTCTGCTAACCCAGACACTGCAGAAATACCACATTGCCTCAGGGTGGGTCCTGCCTCTCAAGTTGCTTCTGTTCAGAGTAAACTCTTCCCACACATGGGTGGATTTTTTAATTTCCTGGCATTCACAGGACCATAGGATGGTTTGGGCTGGACTACAAGCTCAAGAGGTTTGTAGTCCAACCTCCTGCACAGAGTAGGGTCAGCTGTGAAGTCAGATTACTTATGGCTTTATCAAGTCTAGACACAATACAAAACAAGGAGTGTTAAATATACTCTCCCTTTTGTATTTGAACAGGACACTGCCTTTTTTGAAGACCCCCCGAGTTTTTTGTTTCATTTGGGGTAAGGATTTTTGGTTCAGTACCCTCTTCTCAATTCTCTTGAATTCTTAGCTGTGTCAGGAGCCTGAGTTGTAGTGGTGAAGCCAGGTGATGTCTGACCAAGCCTTTCTGAATGATGCTTTCTGTTTTAATTTGCAGAACTGTCCCATAAACCTCTAGCTACACCTGTTCTAGCTATGTCTCATAGCTGGGGACTCAAAATAGAGGAGAGAACTTATCAAATCAAAACAAATGAAAACAAAATAGCTTTTCTTCCAGTGTTTGTGTTCTTCCCCTGAAAATCTAAATTGAAGGAGGATTGGGGTCAGGGAGGCAGGTGAACTGTGAATGTAAAAATACAGTTTCTTAAATTTGGAGACATGTTTATACATGAATAGGCTCTGGATAGCAAGAACTGGAAGTTTTTTCAATAACTTTTCTTCCTCTGATTAATAGTTTACTATTATTTTTACTTAAAACAATTTCAGCAGTAGTGGAAGGTCTCCCTGCCCATGGCAGGGTTGGAACAGGATGATTTTTAAGGTCCCTTCCAAGCCAAACCTTTCTAGGATTCTGTGAATATATACAAGTCTCATGGTTACTTCATCTTTCTGCACTTCTCTGAAGAGAAATAAAAGAATAAAACTTCTCCAGCTTTATTGCTACAGCTGTAAAGACTGAATCAATTAAAATAATTAATTGTTCTGTGGCATATTCTATACAGTAGCACTGAATAAATGAAGTATTACTGCTGCTGTGACCTGTCTGAAAACACTTCCTTGTATTACCTTTGTCCAACTTGAGTTATTTCATCAGGAGTTCTTGATTTTTTTAGTTTTAAGGACAAAGTGAACTTCTGCTGACATTAAGTTTGGTCCACCTGTGCTGCAAGAGAGCAGGAGCCATATGGCCACAATTATTGTAGCTGTAAATGAATTAATAAGTCCTGGTGACAGGCATGACATATTTACAAAGTTTTGTTTTCCTCCTAACCACAGCAGCACAGCTTCCTGCAGGAATTGTGTGATGGAGAGGGGCGCTGCAGAAACCTGGGTAGTGTTACTGAGTCTGGGTTTGTGGTTGATTTTGACTTTAATTCAATTTTCACCTCAAGTCTCAACCATCAATTTTAAACTAAGTCTAAGCTGAGGAAAGGACTTTCATTTTTCCTCCAAGCACATGCTGATAAATAAATAGTCCAAATTTGGCTAATGTTTAAAAAAAAACAACTCCCTTGACTGGGCAAAAATAAACTAATCTCTAATATGGTCAAATACTATGTGTCCAAAAGTATATTTTTTTAACTCAGTTTTAGCTGAATGTTTAAAACACTCACTGATATGATGTGCAATTTGTTGATCAGTCACACATGAAGAATTTTCTATTTTAAGCTTTTTTGTTTCTGAAACAGAGACAGAATTTCTTTAAACACAGATGACCTTTGTTTTGTGTTAAAATTTAGATACATTTGCATGCTTTAATTTTGTTGTGTTTAAAGGTGCTTGAGCACAGTTTAAACAGCAACTTGGGCTGGGTTAGAAAATCACTGGTTTGTGTCTCAGTGCTGGGTCACTGCACTTAGTGTTTCAAAGGCTTTCAGTGTCATAGATTGCAAGAGTTACCAGATATTAATTTGGATCAACTCCCTCAAATCTACAGCTCAGGTTTTTCTGCAGCTGTCTTTTGAAAGATGTATGTTTGGGTTTTTTTCTTTTTATCCTTAAGAAGAAATATTTTTTTAATCACTTAATTTCTTAAATTTTTTAAATATTTTTTATTTTAACACACAGTTGTTTACACCGAGTGAGTGTCCTAGAACCTTTTCCTGAAAAAACAGGGAAAAGATCTCTTAAAGAAAGCTAAAATGTCATGATGGAGAGGGGAGCACACCCCGAAGTTCTCCTGCCTTGGTCTCGGCATCTTCATCTCCCAGTTGTTTCTGGAGCTGGAAGTAATAGATAGATTAGTTTGGAGGGTATAATTTCTGTTCACTGGATTCAGTGCTCTGCCCAGGTAAATAACCCCTCATATAGGACAGATTTTTCCAAATAATTGTAAAGTCAAGCTCTGCACTATGCTTCAAAAGTACAACTCAGTGTAATTTTCAGTTCAGTTTCATGAAACTGAAGGATATTTGTCTCAGAGATCCAGCACAGCACAGAAACATTGGGGATGGCATGTTGTATAAAAAATAATTACTTTGCTGGTGTGTTGTGTACATATTTGAATGTCCTGGATTTCCTATTGATTTTAGACCATCTGGGTTTGGTTTTAGCTTCTGATCTTCTGCCATGACCCTTACAATCACCTAAGCTATTTTTATGCAGTATGTAATACCATTGGTTATCCAGGCTTACAGTGTTTTTCTCACAGTGAGCATGACAAGTATTCTTCTCACATATGTATCTCCTGTACTTGGATTTTAGCTTAAACATTCATTTTGTTTTTTTTTTTAATTTGGTGCTTTGTATTTAATGTTTTGATTTCAGAATCAGTCTCCTCCAATTGAAAGTTCTTACAAGATTTTACCTGAGAGTTGTTCATCTTTGGCATAGAATCACAAAGGAACTTAAAAGCTGTAGCACTGAAGGACTGTTTGATTACTTTAAGCTTTGTTGAACAGTGTGACTAAATTTGGGAGTTCTTTATTCTAATTTTATTGAAAAATAAAAGCTTTCATCCTCCCTAGCAATCTGTGGAACAAATTTATGCTTAATCACAGAAGTGTCTTCTTTCTCACACTATCTCAAACTCATCTGTACCCTTCTGGTTTCCTTGTGTCAGGGTGTAACGTGGAGCTGAACCTGGTGTTTGTGATTTACAGAGCTCCAGAGAGCTGCTGCTGGCCAAGCCTGTCCCAGCCCTGCTTTCCAAAGAATTTGTGTGGATGGGATTGCTTTCCATCACTTCCAGTCTTGTGTGGTCTGTGACCCAGAGTTGTACGAGGAGGTGAAACACCACATGGACATCCAGGCTCATCGTGTGCCCTGTGACACCTGAACTGCTCTGTCTTCCTGACATGTCACATGTGACAAAGATCATTTTGTTCTGTTTCATCTTCCCTGTGTGGCAGTTCACTTGTATTCCTTTCACATTCCAGGATTTAGCAATTAGTACCTCTGCTTTAATTGGCTGATCTTTGTTACTGGAAAGTAGTGTTTGTTTAAATATCACATTTATTTATTTTTATTTTTTTTTAACAAACAGTTATTTTGTTTCTGATTTTTTTTCCAATTCTCTCCCTCAGATGGTAAAAGCAATCCAAGTTCTGCGTATCCATCTGCTGGAGCTAGAAAAGGTTAATGAACTCTGCAAGGATTTCTGTAGTCGTTACATTGCCTGCCTGAAGACAAAAATGAATAGTGAAACTCTATTAAGTGGAGAGCCTGGAAGTCCTTATTCACCTGTGCAATCTCAGGTGTGTTTCAAATACTGTTGAGTGGATTTTTGCTTGGATTTCCTTAGGAAGTTACAGCTACACTTCTTTTGCTATCAGTTTGCAAACATAATTTCTGCAGTTTTCTGTATTTTCAAATCAGTTGTTAAGAGTAGAAAGAGCTCTTTTTTTTGTCTGTTTTCCTTTTATGATTTTCTCTCAGTTCAGCAAATGGAGATATTCAGAATAGCCTGGATTTGCTGTTTGGTTGGAAGGAGTTTAGGAAACAGAATAAACAAAGAGGAAAAATATTGCTCATCAAGGCCTCCTTAGTCTGCCTCCTTCATGAAATTATTGAGATGATGGATATGTTTTATACACAACCTGTATTCTGGAATAAGTAGACAATATCTGATGGCTTAAAGTTGCAATATTGCATTTTCTATATTAAATGGACCACAGCTGATAGGTTATGGTTGATGTTTTTGCTGTCAGATGCTGCAGAGTGAGCCCTGCCACCCCAGTACCCACTTGGAACAGAGTCTTGGGGCATGGCCCTTCTCTGAATTACTCATGTGTCTGATGCTCTGTATTAAAAAAAGCCCAAATGACTTTTGAACTTCATTTTCTGGACTCCTTATATAGATTTTGATGTCTGGAGGTGCGGAAAGGAGATTCTAAAATCAGGCAAAAACACTTTTTGAAAGGTTTTTTCTGTGTATCTCTTAGCAGTTTTCTGTAGAGGTACGAGGGACCCATTTTGCATTTGCTATCAAAAGAGATTATTCATACATAGTAAGGAAATGTGTAAGAGTTTGCACGTTCAGGGTTGAGTAAGAGCTATCTTGAGCAGAATAAAACATACTGAATATTTAATACATTATGTTCAAATTGAAGGAATTAAGGTAATAAGTAAAATTCTAAAGCTTTGATGCTTGTAATAAGAGCATCAAGGGTAATTTCATTTGTCCTTTTTCCCCTCTTGCCTTTGGAAACCGTTTCTTGTTCTTTATATACCTAGAACAAAAATGTCTCAAAATTGTTTAAATCTTTTCTAGCAGTTGCTTTCATGAGGGTTTTCAAAGGTAATGGTTGGTGATAATGAGGAAGTTAATGTAGGTAATGATGAACCCCTAATGAAGGATCTTTCTCTTTGAAGGTAATCCTGTGGCTAAACTCCAAACGTACTTTAGAGCAAAAAAAACATAGTGCAAATTACAAAAATACACAAGCATGCTTGATCTCCTTACATTAAAAAAAAAGTTCAAAAATGTAAGCAACTAATTGTTTTATTTTTCTAGCAAATTCCAAGTGCCATTGCAGGCACACTCAGTCCCCAAGGGATCATGGTGCCAGCATCAGCATTGCAGCAGGGAAATGTAACTATGGCAACAGTAGCAGGTATGACACACTAAAAACAACTGGCACCTTGCTCTTCATCTTGGTTTCCTTCATGGTTGTTTCAAAAACTACACAAACACTTTTAAAAATGTGTTTTAATACCTGAAAAGTTGTTGTAGTACAACAACTTTTGTACAGTCAAATGCTTTACTGGTTTATGAATCACTTAATTTATATGTTTTCCAAGTATATTTGTGGGACTGGCAGTTCCATATATAATACTAAGAGATCACATATTACATTACATATATAATATTAAGAGCTCTTAATGTGCAACACTACATTTGTTAAAAGGCATTTCCACAGACTATGGTGTTTTGTTTTCTTTTTTTTTTTCCCTTTAAAAAGAAAAATTCTATTTGACAAAAACATGCATTAGCTAAACCATTGCACTTGTTGGCTGCCTCGTGCTCCTTGGAGTTTGGAACCACAACTACAAGTCTGTGAAATCCTTGATGTCCTTGTTATATTGGAGATTACATTTGAGATGAAATGTTGAGTCTTGCTTCTCAGCAAGGTTTTTAATCAAACCCAGCTGCCCTAAGGCGTGATCATATAGGTTTGATTTTGGTGTTGTGACCCTTATTGGTTGAAGACTTAGCTCAGTTAAAACATGAAGAACTGTTTTGTAGCCTGATAATCATGGCATTTTCCTTTGGAAATAGATTTAGAATGCCTAAAATACAATATAATATAATCAAACATTGTACAGTTTTTTGTGAATGGGTGAAAATTTTAGTGTAGCAAAGAGCACATCTTGCTTGCTGACTAAAAAAGCATAATTTATATATTACCAAAAGTCTTGTATGGTGTGTAGTGCTGATGTGTTTAAAGATAATAATACTTGGAGGACTTTTTCTTCCCCATAATCTGTGTTTGTTTTGTTTCAAGGGGGGACAGTGTATCAGCCAGTCACTGTGGTCACTCCACAAGGACAAGTGGTGACACAGGCACTGTCACCTGGAACTATTCGGATCCAGAACTCTCAGGTTTGTTTCATGAGCTCCACAGAATGGTGCTGTGAGTGGAAATACATCTCAGTGCTTTTAGGAGTTTTGATTTAAATTTGACACACTGGCAGAACGAGCTCTGTGTACACACAGAGTAATTAATTGTAAATTGGTGCAGCCACTGCTGTGTGTTGCAGGTTATATAATATGTCATAAGGTCCCCCTTGCCACAACAGCACATCAGAGTTCCTACATTTTAATTGTCTTCCTTTACTGATGCCAGAAGAGTATGGGTACATGAAATTAAAAAACAATCAAAAACCTAACTAAAATTAAAAAAAAAAAACACCCCTAAACCAGATGGACAAAAAAACCCCAAAACCAAACCCCAAAACCAGTGCAAACCAAAAACCCTTCTAAATTAAATTAATACTTTTTCAATTATTATAACTTTTCTAATCATTGAACTGTGTTTATGGCTGTATAGATTTAATGTATTGCATTAAGATGCCACACTGCTATTGTGAGAAATTTGACTTTTTATCACAGTGGCAACCACTAGTACTGTGAAACTGTGTGTATTTCAGAGTTTATCTATTTGGAGAAGCATTTTTCTATTAAACCTTCAAAATATTTAGTTGAGACTCTGGAAGATCCTCAATTTTGTCTCCTTATACCCTAAAATATAAGGGCCAGCACTCTTTTGTGAGAGGCTCTTAAGAGCTGGATCTGAAGAGTTCAAAGAAACAACTAAAGAAAAAGAAACGTGAAAGCTAGACCATCTTCTGGTACAGAAAACCTTGCTCGTTTTCTCTGAAAGTGAAAAACCAAATCTTCCTGGAATCTGGATTTAATTAGAAATGTGAATGAGGAGCTCCCATCTCCACAGCATAAAATCTGTTGGTAATCACTGACTCACTGGCTTCTTTTCCCCCTAATTTCAAAAAAGTGTGCACAGAGTGTTCTTTGAATTGGCAGGAGCATATCTGTGCTCAGCCATGTTCTCCCCTAGAACACAGACAGCTCTGTCCTCACACACCTCTCAGAAAGAAATGTGTAAAATTACTCTCCTGGACTGAAGGGATTTTGAAAAATTAGGGGTTTTTTACCTTTTTTGAAAAAAATAAAATACTGAGAGAAAAATAATGCCTCTAGCCTGTAAATAAAAAAGGACTTCACCTTCTGTATACATCTGTGACTACTCTTAATGTTAGTAGGAGTCTCCAAACCCATCTATGCAAAGGTCACTAATTGAAAATCCTTCAATGTCTTCTTTTTCAGTGTTTCAGAATGCTGTGGAGGTAGGGAAAAACACTGTAGAAAAGCTATTGAAAGTTCATTATAAAGCCTCCATATGCAGGCAGATTATTTAGAATGTAAGACATTACTTTGGAAATTAAAATGTGCTCCAAATATATATTTGTAGTAATTTGATAGCCTAAACCTTGTTTAAAACTCGTTTCCTACATATTCATTGACCTAAGAAATTGCTCCAATTTGTCTGGAAAACCTGATTTAGAATTATTTTTGTTCCAATTGTCTGAAATAGAATCTTATATGCAATTTATGTGCTGTTTCTTTCTATTTCTGCATAAGCATTTAAGAATGTACTCCCAAATGTTCAGATAATCAATGTGCAAATGATTTGATGAATCATAGGAAGCAAAAAACAAAGAGAAAGATATGTGAATATTTAGGAAGTGGTATGAATGTTGTAAAGTGAATTATAGGTTCTACTGTATAGATCTTAATGCTCTTTGAGAATCTAATACATTTATTTAGCAGGACCTTTAGCATCTTTGTGTGCAACTGCAGCATTACTGCAGCATTTTACTTTATCCTTCATTTAAGTCTTAAAACAGTAATATTTTAAAGCTTCCATAGTTGTTTATGTTTGCACACAGTGAGTATATTCAAGATATTCAAGCCTAATTTCTTTTCATTCCTGCTATAAATGAGCTGCTCATTCATTGATACAGAACTGCCACTACTATGTTAACTGCCTTATTTCTCCTAAAATTACACGTGCAGCTCCAGTTGCAATTAAACCAAGATCTAGGCATCTTGCATCAAGATGATGGCTCATCAAAAAATAAGAGAGGAGTTCTTCCCAAGCACGCTACAAATGTGATGAGATCTTGGCTTTTTCAGCACATAGGGGTAAGGACTGAGCATGGTCAGTTTTTTATGTAGCTCTCTCATGTGGTGTCTTGCAATTTTTCTTCATAAACAAGGTGAATTTATTCTTTTGTCAATTGTGGAATCTCTGTTCAGTTTTCCCTGGAGTTATTTGGAGTAGTTCCACATTCTAATGCTGGTTGACTTTTATTAATATTTTAATAAATATATTACATTTGTGCTGCACAGTCTCAATAAGTGTTGTTAGAGGGAGCTTTTCTTCATTTCACTGTGTTGAGAACTTAATGCTCTCTACACTCTGGTTCATGGCACAAGGAAAAATAATTCCACCTGTATTTTGAGGTGTTTTAGGGGTATTTTTGACCGAGGAAAATTTCAAATTTTCTGTCTCGATCTCCTTTCCAGTCCTTCTGATGTGTACCAAGCTTGTCACTATCTGCTTGTGCTTTCAACTGCCTTCCCTTTGCATGAACACATTGAAAGGATAAATGGCTCTCAAGCTATTACAATGTTGAGTTGATTGATATTTTGCCATTTCCAACTTTTTTTGCAGCAGAGAACTGATCCAGGGAAGCTGCTTGAGCACTTCTTGTGTTATGTACCCCATCCTCATCTGCTTAGAGCAGCTTTATTTAACTCCAGAGTGCTCCTCAGCTCTCTCATATGACAGTGCCCTGGCCAGCAGAACTAATCAGAGCTGCTCACATGCTGTGCTGCCCAGGGATCACGCTCTTTAATAAAGACTGTCAGCCATGAGAAGCTTTTTCTTCTGAATTACACAGCAGCAGTTTCATGGTGCCACGGACACTCTCGAGGATAAAATCAGTTTTTGTGTAGTAAAGCACTCTTTGTTGAATTATTTTCATCTATAAAAGTTTGTGAGATTTCTAAGGTTTGTGTTTTAATGAGTCAGATGGCCTTAATCCACCCTCTTTAATCAGATGTAATAAAGGAGTTCTTATTTTTGATGGGGAGATGAAAAGCAAGCTTATGCCTTTTTTGTTTGCTTTTCTGGCCTCTGTAGCATCCATATCCAACAGAGGATGAGAAGAAGCAGATTGCAGCACAAACAAATCTGACACTACTCCAGGTTAACAACTGGTAAGAGCAAAGCCCTTAATATCTGTCCTCGTCTCCACGTGCTTACAGCTCAGAAATAGTGAGGAGGATAACTTGGACATCTGGAGTTGAACTTAAATTTTCTACATATGTTACAAAACATGTATAGAAATACAAGAGTTATGCACTGGCACACAAGCACGTTATTTTTATAAGGTATAATAATACTCATGTAATTTAAATTATATAAGGACTCCAGAAAACATTGCAGCATTAAGGAATTGTGTTCTGTTCCAGTGCTGAGAGAGATGGAAGTACTCTCATGTCTCTTCTGCAAGCAAAGAAATTGAAGTCTAAAGGCATTTAGTGGCCTGGTGGCTGCAGATGTTGAAGCAGTTACTGTTAAGAGATTCTGTTCTTGTATCAAAGGATGCTCTCCTGAGCAGTGATGTCTGAAAGGAGAGGCAGTTCCTCAACTACACCAGTCCATGGTTCAGCATGTTTTGTCATGTCTTATCTTTCCTGGAGGTGTAAGATAAGACACCTTCCCTGTAGAAGAGAGGAGGGAAGGTGCTGACAGTGCCCTATTCGCCTTGTGGCATCGGTTCCTAAAACTGCTGCAGCAAAGTCCCACAGGGATCTGTCTCAGATTTCAAAGATGACACTGGCTGTGAGGCTGTGGAGGGGTCCAGGGGGGAAATAGTCAGGATAGTGACAGAACACTGGTTCCAAAAGTGGAACAGGGTGACTGTGACTGTGTGACATGTGGCCATGGAGCTCTGTGCACTGGGATCTGACTGCTGTCTTTGCAGAGCATTGTATTACAACTTAGGAACCTGCCAGCTGCACCTGATTTCCTCCCATTGCAGGTAAACTTGGGACCTGGATGTATTTTGTGATATTTAGGGATGATGTCTTCAGTCACAACTCTCTGCCATAGATCACTATGTCGAAGTACTGTTGGTTCAGTTTAAGTATTTTTTTGTTCACTAGCAGAAAGGGGAAGGGTGGAAATTAGCATGCTAAAGTAAGCAAGTGAAAATCAGAGAACAAAAGGAATCAGGAGAGATCTGACAAATGTGTTTGCTGTCATCTGCATCAGGAGCCAGCCTTTAGAAAGCCAGGGAGCCTGTAAAATAAGTAATACAGAAGCTTAAGAGGGAGTAAATTAAACCAGACCAAACAAAGCAGGTTAGGCAGGAGCTAGATTTTAGGTGAACCCTAATGAGAGGAGTATCAGCTTTCTGAGCTGGCTGTCAGCAGGTTTTCTGGTGCTTAGTTTTTAATAAGATCCTGAAGTGTACATCTGTTGTGCTGTCTGGAGAATTTTTCCTTCTGAGGTGGGGGAAAAATGCTGTTTGCTGCAAAATGATAGAAGTGCTTTCTTAGCTAGTTTGCCAAAAGGAATACTGGTGTTCTAGGGGTGGTTCTACACTTTAAAAAGAATGTGAAGCCCAGCTGATAGAAGATTTTATATTCCTATTTTTTTTTTCCTGCTGCATGCTTTGTGAATGTGAGAGAGACAGAGACTGAATTTACAGCCAACTGGTCCTAAGTTCACCTTGCCCTCGATTGTATTTAGGTTTATCAATGCTAGAAGGCGAATTCTTCAGCCAATGCTGGATTCCAGTTGTTCTGAAACTCCAAAAACAAAGAAGAAAACAGCCCAGAACCGACCGGTCCAGAGGTTCTGGCCTGACTCCATTGCCTCAGGAGTTGCTCAGCAGCAATCGAACGAGCTCACGATGTCAGATGGTGAGGAGAGCTGCCTCAACATGGATAATAAAGTTCATCCCTCTCTGACAGGGGAATGGTGGGAGGGAAACTTCTGGGTATTTCAGTATAAATGTGGTTTTAATCTGGGAAAGCATAACAGAAATGTGGCACTTTTCTTCTCTGTAACAGTTTTCTGTGGTTTAAGCAAGGGTATTATATTGGAATCCACGTTGAGAAACTTGCTTTTGTTTCAGAAGTTATGAAACGACAGAATAAAAGATGTAAAACTGAGATGTACAGCTGAGTTCTCTCTGTGTGCACGTCAGGAGTGTCCTGTTGGATGAGCAGCACTGGGCTGCAGCTTCAGCTTCAGCAGCTGCAATTCCACATCTGCCTCACATGCTTCAAGCTGAACAGTGAGAGGCAGAAAGATGTCATAGAGCCTCCACAGACTGTGACTGAAGTAACTTCCTCAGTGTCAGATCAAAAAAAAAGGTTTAATTTAAGAAAGATAAATAACTGCTTTAATGCCAGGATCGTCCTTTCTGTCCTGCTGCCTGGTGCTTTATTCTTTCCAGTTTGGAACAAATTTTTCCCCCAGCCTCTGCTGGATCTGGCAACAGCTTTATCCATTGAAGTTACCTTGAATCTGAACACTCCCCTTTTTCTGCAATGAATTAAGCTGGAATACTTTACAGAAATGGCCTTGTGATGACTTGACTGGAGAATTGCTGTAGCAGGTGTCCATAACACAAAGTTTAATATTCCCAACCAACCTAATTCTGGCATTTCCTGATATTTAAGTATTTGGCAACCTACATATCTTCTATTTTAATGTAGTTCCTTAAGTTTCCTAACTGTTGATTAGAAACAAGCTCTATTATGTGTAAGTAGAAGGCAAGACAGGTGCTGAGGTGCTGTGATTGTGCTTCTGCAGGTGCTGTCGTGACCATCACAGCTCCAGTCAACATGAATGTAGACAGTCTGCAGTCCTTGTCCTCCGATGGTGCTACCCTGGCTGTGCAGCAGGTGATGATGGCAGGGCAGAGCGAGGATGAGTCTGTGGACAGCGGTGAAGATGATGGAGGAGACCTCTCAACAGCAAATATCAGTGGGCTGGTCTTGGATAACAGTGATTCTCTGCAGTAGGAAGCAAGAGAGCGTGGAGAAAAACACTTAGGAAAAAGAATGGACTGACTGACTGACTTTTTATAGTTTGCACAGCAAACATTTTACACAAGTTTTATTTCTAATATGTTTTATATGTAGATATAGAAGGGTGCACTTTTTTGTATTTCATAGTAAGCTTAAAGAGTGTTTTTGCAGGTGCAGCAACTTCTTTCAAATGTGTTTTCTTTTTTTTTCCATTTCTTTTCCTTATTTCAGAAAATTATATCTAGTAATATAAAGAACCACGTAAGTACCCCTTTGTTCTCTGAATTGGAAGTGCTGCAGTTTCTGATGAATTATGCAGTTTCAATTAGTGCTGTTATTTAACACAGCTTTTGATGGGCAGGTGATGTAAATTTAAAGCATGTGACACTAGTGTGTGAAACTTGATTATTGAGTTAGATGCATATATTTGAAAGATGCTTCTGCACCTTAAAAACTGCTAGTCTGAGGTGGACAGCAACACACATAAAAAGAAAATGTTGATGTGTGATTCAGTAGAGAATGTATGGCAATTTAAATAAGTTTAGTTTCTCTCATAGTCCGTGAGCCTGTTTATCATTTGCTATAAAAACTCCTATTTTTACCTTGCTGGGGTTATTGGATAAAAAAAAATATTTTTATAAATTCAGTAGAAATTGGGATGACAACTGTATTAAGCAGGAGGAAAAAAAGAAAAAAAGAAAAAAAAAAGAATTTCCAGAGGGGAAAAATAAATGTTTAGTATTCCTATTTGGAAGGTCTGAAAATTGACCCAATTTAATAAACAAGCCTACAGTAGCATTCTATGATTCTCAGCTATCCCACAATGATATACTATATTTGATAATAGCATAAGAAGGGCCCACCGTTTGATGGGATTTTGATATTGTCAAACATTGATTTATATTATGTGTAAACTGATATTCAAATTGCATAACTCTGTATCTAGAATTGTATCTGAAAATATTTGCTAAATGAGTATTCAGGTAAGTAAGTTCAAATACCCACAACTTTTCCAATTATTAGAGAAATTTAACAGTTTATAGTTTGTACAACTGAATCTAAAAAAATGAAAAGTTGCCTACTATACAGTCATGAATTCTGCTATTTTATTGCATTTGAAATATTTTCCCCTAATACAAAAAGAAAAATATAACATGGATTTATATAAAATGTCTTCAGATCTGAAATTCACTACCAGAATATACAGCAGGCTTTGTTAGAGTAGGAAATCCTTGTGTGTCATTTGAAAAATGAAGAGCTGGTATGCAAACAGCTGGGTTTTGGTTTGGTTTTGTTTTGAAATTTTTTATTTTTATTTTTATTTTTTTTGTTGTGGTAACAGTTAATTTCTTTTATTTTCCCAAAGTTTGAAGTCTGTGATTGTCTATCCATGAACACTTGCTTTTGGAACTTTGTATTTCCTGTTGTTGAGTACAAATAAGAGACTCAAGAGCCTCATGATATGATCAACACCATCTTTTGTCCCTGTCCATTTGTCACAGTGTTGGCTTAGATCAAAGCCAGAACTTCCTTGTGATTTAGACCAAATCTGGGTGTGTTTCTAACGTGACAGGGAGAAAGGTGGTAGCCTTTAGAACCTTCAGACACTGTATTTGAACAAAGCCCTTTGGCAGATGCAAATATTTAATTGAATACTTAATTTCTGCTTCTCAGAACACTCAGGCACATGCTTAGGTCCCCTTGATTTCAGGAGGATGAAGGAATGTACTGCTGGGCTTGCTTAAGTGATTGGAAGCTGGTCATGGCAGATTGTCTTCCAAGGCAAGGTTGAGTTGGTAGGAAGAAAAGCTTCAGGAAGAAATCTCAGTGGCATTGCCATACATACATGGAGAATAAGAGAAATTTTCAGTGACTGGGAGTTATTTTTTTTAGATTTTTTTTACTCGACACAAGAAGTATTTCTGCTCCAGCTCTCACCGAGTCCTGGCTGAGGATTTTCCTTTCTTCAAGTGCTGTAATGATCTGCTCCACTGGACTGGTGACTTCTAAAGAATTTGTTTTCTTCTGACTTCTCTGCTTTGTCACTAATGTGCCATGTTTGTTAAACAGCACAGTAAATGAGTAATGAAAGATGTAATTAGGGAGGCTTCGACATAGCATGGCTATCTCAAAGGCTGTTGTCAAATCCAGTTTTGACCCCAAAACACTTTAAAAGACAAACCATGTACAAATCCTGCTCCTTTGGAAGCATTCAGCCTACTGCCCCTACAAAAGATAGCTTAGATTACTGGAACTCAGATTCTGTATTTTTGTTTTTAATTGTTTTTAACTTCAAGAGTGCTTCATCACCCCCACCGTCTCCATTCAATAGCAGGTTATATTTGTTGGTTTGTTTGGGGTTTTTATTGGAAACAAGACCTCAGGGTTTGCAAACTTCTGAAAGTTTATTTTTCAGAAAGAAGCCATTTTCTAGTTAGCTGCTTTTTTTATTTTTTTTTTTAATCCCCCCACCTTACATGCAGCAGAAATTCTCTTCTTGCAAAACATGACCTTGTCTCAGCTACTTTGTCAATTCCTGGAGACTGAATTTGACGGAGTTTACTGTGAAAGGGGAATATGGAATTGTTTCACTGTCAGATTAGAAACATAAAAAAAATATAGGGATGTGAATTCCTAAAACTGAAAGGGCTTCACCAGTGTAAAAGTATTGCTTAACATATGAAACTCAAACCTTTTCTTTCAGTTCAGTGAGAATTCTGTAGTGGGTGTGAACTGCAGGGAAGTGCTTGTTCTTTTCATGATTTAAAAGAAGAGAAAACAAGAAACAAGTAAGGTCCTTTTTTTTTTTCTATGTAAGGAAGATTGCTGGTTTCAGCAAAGCATCACCATTCAGGAAAGGTACATGTTTACATTCGTTAAAAAGTCTTTATAGGGGACCTAACTTCAAGTCCGTGTAGAATTCTCCCCCTGCCCCCAATTAAAGTCATATTCATATACAATAGAACTAATTTGGTTTTTGAATCAATGTGATTCTTCTGCAAATGCAGTTATTAAAACTTTTAATTTTTTTCTTCAATCTAACCCAAAACAGGGTTCTCAGTCCAATTTTTTCAATATTCCTGGGAACAGGCAAGGCAATTTTCTGTTGGTTATTTTTTTAACTTTGGAAGCACTGCAGTTCAGTAAATCAATTCCAAAGTGATCAGAATAAGTTTCTGAATGACTGTTACAAATAAATAATCACGTTGGAAAATACTCAGATCAACTCTGGCTCTGCAGGAGGTTTTCTACATCTGGATATTGTGTCACAGTGGAGTCCTGCCAACCTCAGGGAAGCTCCATACGTATCCATGTCAGGCTGCATTTACTTTCTGGTACCTGATTTCTGACAGGAATCTTCTGGAGAGCCCTCCAGCTCTACCCTGCCTGCATTCCTGGGTCTTCTTCCAGTGGAAACCTGGGTATGGATGAAGGGCTTGGCAGGGCAGGATTTCATGGTGACCTGGGATGCAACAAAAAATATTTTTTGTTGATGTTCAAAACGTGGCCAGGAGCCAGAGGCGCAGTGAGGAGTTGCAGTTCCCAGTTCCAAAGTTCCAAAGTTTGTGCTTCCAGAGTAGCTTTAGGTTTATGGATGTTGGAGGGGAATAGCACACGTGGCTCAAGCCCCAGCTCCTGGTCAGTGACACCCAGAGCCCTGTGTGGGGCATTCACTGGGGAGCTGGACTCGCTGTGGGTCCCTTCCACCTCAGAGTGTTCTGTGAAATACATCGTGGATTTGTTTCTGGAAGAACCAGAAATCCACCTTCCTGACTTCAGGAACTTGGCAGCCCACGGGACAAAACAAAGCCTTTCCAAGGGATGATAGTTGCACTTAAACAAAAATCCAGAACACCCATGTGTTTTAAAAAATTGGAACACATGCATTTAATTGTAATTAAAGTTGATTTAATATTTTATTTTCTGAAGTTGAGTCGTCTTGGGAGAAAAAGAATGAATAAGTATTTGTCTATGCAAGACACAAATGTCAAAAATGTGTGAATTACCCATTTTTAGGTACTGTATTGTTATTGTCTTTCTGACTTCTTTTCCTTTGATTAGTCTCTTCGACCTTTCAGCCTTACATTTGGCTTAGAGTTGAATAGGCAAAATGTAGTTTTGAAATCCTGTTGGAAATGTAACTAACCTTCGTTCCCTCATGAAAATCTCGCATGTTAAACAATTAAGTGAAATGTTTTGGTTTCCTAATAATAAATTCAAACTCTCACCACCTCCTGAAAACAGCATATCCATGAACGCGCACATTTGGTGTGGTGTGCAGGACATCCAACCATCAGCTGGACGCACTTTGCTCTTCCCTCTGCGACAAAAGCAGGTTCATTCTTGCCAAACTCAGACTCAGCCTGGATCCCTTTCCCCCCCCCCCTGCCCTTGGCATGCTAAACTCCTGCAAAGACCTTCTGGGTTGTTTAATTTTCAAGTCCTACAGTAACCTGATGGTCCATGGCACTGATGTGCTTTTGATGATTGCCCAAATCAGGTAATTTGTTCATTCCTGTCACCTGGACATACAAAATCCGTTCTTTTTCTGTGACATAGTTCTTTAGGACCTGCTGAGTGCTCACAGTTGGTTTTGCTAGAGAAAAGCAAGGTGTGAGAAGGCAGGGAAATGCTTTTCCAACCTTGTAGAAGCCCATAAAGATTCATAGTTGGTTGTTAATAAAATCCAGTGTTTCAGGTCGTGACGGAAGCGGCCGTAACCTGCCCGTGGATTAGCAGCACTGGGTCTGTACAATCGACAATCTTTAAAATGTGAACCCTGTAACTTTTCTTTCCTTGGTTGTTAAGGGATTTTGAAGCAACTGATCTATCAAGGGATGAAATTAAAAATGAGAATATGCTTCATGGATGATTTATTTTTACACTGCTGCTCTCTGTGAACAGAAAAAGCACATTTTGGAAGCAAAGCATTTACATTGCTTTAACAGTATTGTTTGGCTGAAAGACAAATATGTTTTCAGGAAATCTTGAGCATAGTTTCAAACTATTTAACCAGTTCTTGGCCAGGGAAAGTCCTTGGCCCTTGTATTTGTTCGGGGTTTCTTGTTTATGCAAATGAAGAAAAATGTTTACTCGTTCTTACCAGTGTGGGGATTTTTATTACACTTTTGTATTGCAGGAGCAGCTTCGATGAAAGAAAGAATTAGGCAAATAGTCCATAATGTTTGTGACTTTGGGTGGGGGGGGGTTTGTTGTTGTTGTTTTGAATTAATTAAAATGGCATGGACATCAAACTTCAAGTAATGGTTCCAAGCATATATGGTAGTGACTTATTTGAAAACACTTCCTCTCTGCCAATCCCATGTGTTAACTTGTTTAGCCAGATTGTAATACATCTCTAAAATTACCACGTTCTACCAAATCAGCAATCTTCAGGAAATGAGCAGCTCCTTTATTACAAGATTCTACTCAAGCAAGAATCTCAAACTCTTTTCATATCCAGCGTGCAAGTCCTGCTCAGCAGAGATTAAATCAGATGTGGGTACTCCAGAATTTACTTCTGCTGAGTACTGGAGCATTATTTATTCCTGCCATCTCTTCCCCAGCATCTGGCATGGTGACACCCACGAGTGCCTCCAGAAGGGAAGGGGGCTGATTATAGATAATATTTTGTGGTTAGAGGGTTAATCTGTGGAGAGCCGAGTAGTTTGTGTTCTACACAAAGGAGTATTTATCATTTCCTTGTCTGGCATAAGAAGAGTGTCTGAGAGTAGTGCCAGTAACTCCTGGTGATATAACTGGAAATAATTTTAACTCCACTGCTGCCAGGGAGCAATTTTTTCCTTAATCTGAAATGAATAAACAACCTAACAAAAAAATCCCCCACCTGTAAAGTGCACAGGGGAATGTTGTCTCTCAGACTGAGAGAGAGCAGGGTTAGATTAGATACAAGAAAAAATTCTTCCCTGTGAGGGTAGTGGGGCACAGGCACAGGTTGCCCAGAGAAGCTGTGGCTGTCCCTGGACCCCTGGAAGTGTCCAAGGCCAGGCTGGATGGGGCTTGGAGCAACCTGGGATAGTGGAAACTGTCCCTGCCCACGGCAGGGGGTGTTGGAATTGGATGATCTTTAAGGTCCATTCCAACCCAAACTATTCTGTGGTTATATGATTATAGCAACTAAATTAGGTCCCATATTGAGTATTTTTAGTTGGATGGTTTCAAATTTCCCTGAGAGATAAATCCCCTCTTCAAGAAGCCATTACAGGAATCAGAAGTTTAATTGTAAATAACTGGTGAGCTGGTTTGCTTTTGTGGAGCATCAGTTTACAAAGTCCTTTATTCTGCAATTTAGGGCTGTTCCTAAATAACTCTCTTTGTAAAAACCAGAGCAATATCCTCAAAGCTAAAACAAAGGAGAATAAGCTACACACACAGTGTGAAGTGAGGATTCTGCAAAAACAACCCAACAATATGGCTGGGACACATATTAGGTATTTATTTATCTGTATATAAA